CAGGAATGCAGAAGGAAGCTTGAGGTAAGGGGCTGGTATGCAGAAGGGCATGTGTGGTCTGGGAGTGAGTTTGGATGAAGGAGGCAGTCATGACATGGGCCACAGGATTGGGGTTCAAGAAGAAGAGGTACAGAGGTTTGGGTTATGACCTAAGGTGGGGGGAGATGTGACCTGGGATAAAGGATTGGGGTGCAGCATCTCAGGAATGCAGAAGGAAGCTTGAGGTAAGGGGCTGGTATGCAGAAGGGCATGTGTGGTCTGGGAGTGAGTTTGGATGAAGGAGGCAGTCATGACATGGGCCACAGGATTGGGGTTCAAGAAGAAGAGGTACAGAGGTTTGGGTTATGACCTAAGGTGGGGGGAGATGTGACCTGGGATAAAGGATTGGGGTGCAGCATCTGGGAAGGGGTATGGGCTCAGGTCGGGGACAGAGGGTTTGGGTTATGTGGGTTGGAAGAGGCTTGGGGGAGGGAGGAGCTGGGATGCCAGAGGCAGGCTCTGGCTAGGCAGCTCCTGGCCAGCATCCCAGCAGGGTTCTCAGGCAGCCTCCCTGCCTGTCTCACCCCCGCATAGGCTACAGGGGCTATATGCTTTGGTGAATAAGAGCCTAAAGGGAGGGGGTGAGTTCTTCAAACAGGCAGCTCCCATTGGCTAGAAACTGGCCAATGGGATTGTGTTGTGGTGGGGACAGTGCATGAAGCCTCCCCCATTCCCCGTCAGCTGTGAAAGAGAAATGGCCCAGCAGTGGCTTTTTTTGAGTGGCGTTCAGGGCAGGCAGGGAGTCTGCCTGAGGCTTCCTGCTGCATCCGTGGGCCGGATCCAGAAGTTTGGCAGGCCTAATCCGGCCTGCACGCCCCATTTTGCCCAGGCCTGAGATAATGTTTTTTTTTATTTTCCTGTCAATATTTTTTTCACTCATAAATTCAACTGCACTAGATTTAGAATGCAAGAGAAGTTAGACATACAAAGATCATTTTAATATGGTGCAATATACTAATGGCATATTGGAGTACATTAATAGGAGCATTGCCAGCAGATATAGGGAAGTGATTATTCCCCTTTATTCGGAACTGGTAAGGCCACATCTGGAGTATTATGTCCAATTCTGCATCCCCCTTTCCCACCCATAGAAAGGATGTGGACTCAGTGGAGAAAGTCCAACAGAAGGCAAGAAAAATGATTAGGGAGCTGGAGCACATGACTTATGAGGAGAGACTGAAGGATTTGTGCTTATTTAGTCTACAGAAGGGATTTGGTAGCAGCTTTCAACTACCTGAAGGTGGGTTCCAAAGAGGATAGAGAAAGGCTGTCCTCAGTTGTGATAGATGTCAGAATGAGGAGCAATGGTCTCCAGTTGCAGTGGGGGAGGTCAAAGTTGGATATTAGAAAAATCTATTTCACTAGGAGGATGGTAAATCACTGGAATGGATTCCCTACCGAGATGGTAGAATTTCCACCCCTAGAGTTTAAGTCCTGGCTTGACAAAGCCTTGGCTGGGATGATTTAGTTGATTGGTCCTGCTTTTTGCAGGGGATTGGACTTGATGCCCTCCTGAGGTCTCTTCCAGTCCTATGAATCTATTAACGTGTTTTCTCATCTAGTGATACATACTTTATATCCTTAACTGAATTAAACTGTGTAATAACTAGAGTTCTATAATTTTATTTTGCATAGACCTGTTCTAATCCAGTGCTACAAGCCACCACAGATGAGCTTTCTAGTCGTTACGTGGAGATGATTAACAACTTGAGAGAGGATAAAGATAGAGAGATCCGTAATCTTAGGGTATGTTGATTATCATATATATCTATATATTCAATTATATATGGACTTCAGAGCAAAGTATGGTTATAGGAAAGTGACAGGTTCCATTTTCAAAATTACAAAAGGGGGGGGGGGGAGCGTATACTAACCAAATATACATACTTCGGGTATTTTGTAGTTTGATATGAGAACTGGTGGTTTCTATTTTGTATCATTGAAATACTGGCTTTGTTCATGTTATGTTTGGTTTATAACTAAAAATTCACTGTCCAGAAGCTGGTTTTAGAGATTTTTTTTTTTCTGACTTCAAAATTGGGTTGACAGGTTTGTACGCATTTATAGATCCTGAGTTCAGCATAAACAAAAGCCTCGTGTATCTTGATGGGGGTGAGAAAACTAACCAAAAAGGCAGCTTTCATAAAATAAGACAGATCCTAATTTAAAGTATACCTATAAAACTTGTCACATAAGGGGTACTGTATGTATATTTGACCAGCTTAAAGATCATTTTTAATTGTACTATATTTGATAACCAAATGAATTTACCCGAGCAAGCTGAGTTTTCTAAACATTATACCTACTGATACCAAACAAAACACAAGCACCAGTGCACTACTAAAATAATATACCAACTCAGAACCACCCATTGCACCAAAAAAGGTGCTAACATATTTTAGTTGACTTACTCTTGAGTCTCCCTCTGGATACGTTTTACATTAATTGGTTATTTTAAGTAGTGTCTTTCTATGTGAGAATCCACATGAAGGGATGACATCTAAAGTGCTCTCAGTTGTATTAAGTGATAAATTGGAAATACAAATATTTTCTCCTCTTGCGAGAATACTTCAAGGTGCTGTACCAATAGCAGATCTAAAACTTTTAAACAAAAATTGGGATTTTAAGTATATGCCAGTAGGATACAGAACATAACAAAATTATTTTCTTATATGATGAAAATCTTTCATTTTCAGAGTAATATCCAGGTCTAGCCACACAAGTGGAGGACCATTGAATACCTATATTCAAGGTCATGATGATAATTTATGCTTATAGTATAAATCTTAAAGTAACAGAAATGAGAACAAAACATGGGAGAAGTAGTGGATGAAATAAAATGAATCCACAAATTTGTGTAAAATTAAATTAATTCTTGTTTAAAAGTGACCTACAAAGGAAGAGAAGTTGGTCTTTGTCTTTAGTTCATTATGTATTAAAAAGCCTGAAAAGCTTACTATATATAAATAAATTAATTAAATAAAGAGGAAGGGCGGGGGGATAGAATTCCATAGCTTGTTCATTGTAAGTCATCTTAAAGATACTTCAATCTCAAAACTATTATTTTCCTTAGTTTCCCTAATATGTGCATAACCATTTTTTAAAGTCCCAGATAAACCAGTTCCAGCAAGATATTTCAAGAAGAGATGGATGTAACAGTGACATCCATATAAGGCTGCATGAACTGACTTCAATGTTGGAAGAAAAGGAGACTTTTATTAAACAGCAGCAAGAGGTAAAATAGTGTTTATTTGTGCTGCAGTTGTATAGAGTCTATTATCACTCTTATCTGCTTGGGGACCATAAGACAATTCAAATTTCAGCTGTGTAAATAATTAGAATTTAAAGGGGAAGGTAGCGAAGATATGCCAAGGTAACAGATCAGTAGTGCTGGTCCCTTTATGTGCTCTATTCCATGTAAGCTGTAAGGCATTGGTTTTCAGGACACTTTTCCCATTTATAATTGTAATATAACATTCCTCTATAAGAATTTTTAATTCTGATCAACAGCTGCCCCTTCCTTTCATCCATGTTAGGTGGAGTCTATGAGCATGTTTCATAGAGAGAAGTTCTGCAATTTGTTTAAACTTTTATGTCTCCTGAAGCAGGTGTTAAGTTTTATCCAACCCCTTGTAATAACATCAACTGTTAGGCAGAGCCTGAAGGCCTTTCTTTGACCCAGTCTGTTGAGATAACAAAAGTTATTCCATAGTGTCTTGTGAAAGGAGTTTTTAACCTTAAGGGTTTTTTTGTGGCTTTAGAGTTAACGTTTAATGAAGGGTTCAGAATTATCATTTTTATTTTTGGTTTCCCTAGGAACTCTTCAGGTTGAAGCAAGAAAGATTCTCATCTGATCAATCCACAGCTGTAACAAAGTCTATCATCACCAAAAAGTAATGCAGCAATACAATTCCTTTAAAAAAATTTTGCTCTTTGATTTTCATTATATAATGTTTTTTGCAGAAGCAATTGCCTGCCAGTGTCAGGTTATGAGAATTGCTTTTAAAATGTTTAACAACAGTGCTAAGAAAAATGTCTGGAGAGGATGCCCTTCATATAGTCCTACAGACTGTTTTAATGAAGTGTTCGGAGGGTGTGAAGATAAATCAGTGTGTTCCTGCCTCTGAATCTCACTTGATAAACTCAACCAAAGGTTGTGTACGTCTGAGAAATGCCAGTATTCTTTGATTCAAATCTATCTATCCTGTTGCACTTTTTATTCAAAACAGTTGTATTTATGGTCAGAAAACTATCAATATACATGGCAACCTTTGTCATTGTGAATGCTGATTTGGATTTGCTTGCTTTGGGTATAAAAAATATAATACTGTTATATCCTTTATGCTCTTCTGAGTTAATCACACTGAAACTTGGTCTATCTACACTACTGAGTTAAGGTGACATAAGTGATAATATGTCAGCCTAATTTTTTAGTGTCTATGGTACAGCTTTTCTCCCACCATGTAAGTGCCCACTACACCTCAATAAGTTGTAGGTAGGATCAATGTCAGTGTATTTAGGATTTCTGCTTTTGTCAATTTAATGGATCCTATGGAGCTGTGAAATAAACAAGACAGCTGGGTCTCCACTCTTACACTCAGGTCAACTGCCATGGTCCCAAAGTGGGTTTCCCTGTCAGAAGCAAAAAGGTGCATGTGACTTCCCCCACGCTCCAGGCAAGGAGCTACATAGAGCTGAAAGCCCAGCCTTTTAGATCACGCTGACAGGAGGATAATGTGGACATCAGCCACTTCAATACTTACTGTGGACATGCCCTGAGAGAGCTGGGTTCTCTTCTGAATTGTGCAACAAAAAGGCCTCTCTGCTGTTTTTTTTTTTTTTTTTTAAATTAGTCTTAAAATATACCTCAGTTGTGTATGCAGTGTTAGGGAGGTGGACTGATTTGTATTAATTTAAAAATACTGTACAATTCTAGTGGGTTGTGGGTTATGAGAGTGCTTATTGTAAGCATGCATTGGTTTAGTTAATAGCAGTGCTCTAAGAAAGCAAGCAGGGAGGTAACAATGGGTTACCTCCTGACAAACTGACCTGAAGTTTAAGAAACAACATGAAAACTGTTAGAGCGTAGTCTAGATATAGCCAATTTTCTAAAGAGGATATGCAAATTCAGCAAGATCTTTTCAAAGTGAAAGTAGTCTGGATGTGGTTTTTTTTCCAGAAAAGAACCCTTTTTCGAAAAAGCTGCTCTTCTTCAAAAAATGAGCTTTATGTGTTTTTTTTCGGAAAAGGGGTTTTTCCCGGGGAAAAAAAATGCGTCCAGACTACTTTCGCTTTCAAAAGACCTGCTTTCGAAAAAGTGATCAGAAGAAGACATACGAATTCCCATGGGAATTTGCATATCCTCTTTCAAAAATAAAACGTAGTTTAGGCATACCCTAAGTGTTTTAGCTATGAAGATTCTTCATGCAGAATCCCCACAAGTTACACAGTTGTTTCGCTAAGGCTGGGGATCAAACCGGTAAAAAGGACAATACACAGTTAGAAACATGCTCTACAAGATCTGTAAAAACTTAAACAACTAATAGTCTTGTAGCACCTTGTAAAGACTAACAGGGAGGTTGAGGGAAGGGTACAAGGTGCTACAAGACTAACAGGGAGGTTGAGGGAAGGGGAAAAAAGGGAGGAAAGAAATAGTGTGCATGCTACATGAAGCTAATAGAGAAGGTGAAAATTAAGTGCAAAATTGTTTTTGTTTTATGTTAGGATGAGGAATGTAGTGGGCCATCCAACCAATGTCTTTATTCATACTTTTGTGATAGGAATCAAACCTGTAAATGAAGTTAAGTTTTAAGGCTTCCCTGTGTAGATGGCTTGTGGAATTGGCCTGAAACAATACGATGACTTTGAGATCCATTAATGAGTGCCCGGGCAAGTTAAAATGTTCCCCAACAGGCTTCTGTGTGTTGCCTTTTCGGATATCTGATTTGTGTCCATTAATTCTTTCCCATAGAGATTCTGCAGTTTGGCCAATATACGTGGCAGAGGGGCATTGCTGGCATTTGTTGGCATAGATCACATTAGTCAAAGATCTGTACATTTACCTTTGCCATTTATTTTTGTCTTTTGAGCATCCCTTTGATTTCATCTGTAATACTAATTAATGGGTGTTGTCAACTTAATCTTCTATGATTCTGTGCAAGAAACCTCAGGAGGTCATCTAGTCCAACTCCAAACTAAATCATGCCAACCAGAGTTTTGTCAAGCCTCACCCAAAAACCTCTAAGAATAGAGATTCCACCATCTCCCTAGCAACTCATTCCAGTGCTTTAACACCCTCCCAGTGAAGCAGGTTTTCTTAATAGCCAACCTAGATTTCCTCTACTACAATTTTAGACAATTGTCAGATGCATTAGATCCATCTCCATGGACCTGTGAATGTCCAGCTTTTCTGAATATTCGTTAATCTGCTCTTTCTCCACTAAGCTACTCACCTCTTCCTCTTACTATGCTGCCAATTGCAGCAGTCTGGGAGCTGATCTTGTTGTGAAGAAAGACAAAAAAAAGCATTGAGTACTTCAGCTCTTTCCACATCACCAGTCACTAGGTTGCCTCCCTCATTCAGTAACAATCCCACACTTTCCCTAACCACCTTTTTGTTGCTAAAATACCTGTAGAAACCCTTCTTCTTATCCTTCACATCCCTTGCTAGCTGCAACTCCAGTTGTGCTCTGGCTTTTCTGATTCTACCTCTGCATGCTCAAGCAATGTTTTTATAATTCCTACCTACTCATCTAAGTTTCCTCATCTTGTAAGCTTCCTTTTTGTGTTTAAGCTCACCGAAAATTTGTCCAAGCCAAGCTGGTAATCTACCATATTTACTATTCTTTCTGCACATGAGGATGGTTTGTTCCTGTGCCCTCAGTAAGACTTTGTTAAAATACAGCCAGGTCTTCTGGACTCCTTTCCCCCTCGTATTAGCCTCTTGGGGATCGTGCCCATCAGTTCCCTGAGGGAGTCAAAGTTTGCTTTTCTGAAGACGAGGATCCGTATTCTGCTGCTTTCCTTTTCTTGTTGTTGTCAGGATCCTAACACAACTATATGGTTACTGCTGCCCAGGTTGCCACCCAGTTCTGTTTCTTCTACCAATTCTTCTCTGTGAGCAGCAGATTAAGAGAAGTATGATATTGATTCCAGAAGGAACAAAAGTCTTTGCATTTCTTGTTCTCCAGAGTGGTGAACAGATCTAGATGGGGAGTCTCCCACCTATAGAAGATTGAGCATATCACATCTTCTCTGACAGACCACTTGTGGACCATGAAGGTCCTATTGAGGGCATCTGTCAGTGTGTTCTGCAACCCTGGCAGGTATTGGGCCTCTTTGTGGATTTTGTGTGTTATACTATGGGTCATGGACTTTGCACCTCAAGGCAGAGGCTGGACAACCGTGCCCCTCCCTGCTTGTTTATATAAAACCATCGCGGTCCCATTGTCTGTACACACTGACATGCACTGGCCCTGCATCTGGGGTCAGAACACCTGACTGCCTTCAATTCCTTCACATTGAAGTGAAGCACTGTGCCCATGGGAGACCACAGTCCTTGGGTCCTCAAGTCCCCCAAGTGGATTCCCCCACCCTATGGCAAACTGCACCCCTTCTGACAGGTTCAGTGGGTTCATTCACCACCTGAGAGAATCTATCGCCCACTGTGGAATAGACCACCATTTCCAGGCTGTCACGTGTCTGCATGTAGACCAAGGTGAGTCATCCTTGAAGGGGACTGAGGCATGAACATGGATATCTGATCATGTGGCAGCATGATTCCATGTGACCTAGAAGTGTGAGGTACACTCTCGCCATTGTAACAGGACACTGGGTTAAGAGTGTATATCAAGTCCTGTATCACCGGAGTCCAGGTTTCCAGGAAAGATGCTCTCCCTTGGGTTGAGTCCAAGGTCTCCCCTATAAACTCTGTTCTTTGCACTGGACTCAGGACCAACTTCTCTTCGTTGAGAAGGATGCCCAGGGCTCTGAACAGCTCTAACGCAAGGCCCACGTGTGTGAAGTGGTTCTCTGGAAGTCGCTTTTAGCAACCAATTGTCCATATAGGGAAAACCTGGACCCCTCTTGTGCAGGAAGGCTGCTGCCACCACCATATATTTGGTAATACTCTTGGGGCAGTAGACAGGCTAAACAGGAGCACTGCAAACTGATAATGCTCATTTGCTACTGTAAACCTGAGGTAGCACCAGTATCGTGGAAGGATTGAAATGTGGAAGTATGTGTCCTTCATAACGAGGCCAGCAAACCAGTCTTCCAGATCCAGACAGGGAATTACAGTGATGGAATTAAGGGTGCCTCTGGGAAGCCGGGTGTGCATCCCTAGTGACTTCATGGTTTCCTGGAAGTCTTTGAGGGAATGCAACTTAGTCTGTCTGGTCCGAAAACTGACTCTTGCCATTAAAGAGGAGGTCCTGCAACATATACTGGACCTCTGGGGAAAGCCCTGAAAGGTCTGAAGCCATGCTGAATGGTGCATGGCCTCCCTCATCAACAATGTCTTTGCCACCAAGTCTGCAGAGTCTAGGGCTGCTTGTAAAGAGGTCTTAGCTATGGTGAATCCTGGTAGGAATCATGGGGCAGGAACTCCTTATACTTCGATAGCGCCTACCATTACTTGAATGCGTAATGGCTGAGGATCCCCTGTTAGAGATCCTCAGCAGTAGGCCTTTTGCAGATTAGACTTTTCTGCCAAACAGATCAGTTGTGTTGGCCTTAGGGAGCAGGGACCTGCTGTCCTTGTCTCTCCTTCTCGTTGACAGCTGATACCTCGAGAGAGGAGGGATGGGGATGTGAGAACCCATTGGAGGAAACGAAGTACCTTCTCTCAACCGGGGTCTGCCACAAATGTGTATAATTTGACTGAATAGTCTTTAGAACTGGTAGAGCAACCTTCCTCTTTTGACAGAATGTCCACTATGGGGTCCTCTGGCTCGTCTGTCTCCTCCATGGGGAGATTCATATTCTGGGCAACCCGTCGTAATAATTCCATGACTCGCTTGGTGCCCCCCAGGAACTCAGTGCCAGGGCCGCCGCCGGTGCTGATGGTAGTGCGCACTGTGTCAGTGGGGTCAATCCCTCTGAAGAGGAGGATGACCTGTTCTGGTGCAGTTTTGTGGACTGGGGTCAATGTAGCATTGCTGGCTTCCCCCTCTAGTGGTGTGGTCTCGGCTGTGTGGGTAGTTTATTACGCATCCTGGATGCCTCAGTTCCTGAAATTTTTATCAGGTCTTGGACTGCCTCATAGGTATCAGGCGTCAAGGGAGAATTCAAGACCTGCACCGGACTCGTGTCTCGGTGACAGGTTGTGTGCCAGACTCAAGGGCCCCAGTCCTGGGCCAGAGTTGATGGCAAGTCCTGGGCCTCCCACGCTGGGGATTGCTTCCACTGTGCTTGGTCTTCTCTTGACTGGACTTATGAGGCGCTCTGCCTCTGCCCTCTTTCCTGCTTCATGGTATCAATGAAGTAGACCTATTTCTTGGCGCCACATTCTTCAGTGATGTGGAACTCTGGTGCTGGTAGTCCTTAGCCTTTCAGCCTGCAGCACATGGAGGCTGGAGCACTCGATACCGAGTTGGCTGCAAATGCCGATTTCTTGGCCTGGGGAGGTTTCAGTGCCGCCTCTATATGGAGCTATTCTAGTCTATACTCCCAGTCCTTCCTGGTACGGGGCTTGAAACCTCTACAAATTTTGCACTTTTCAGTGAGATGTTCTCCACCCAAACAGTGAAGGCACATGTTGTGTGGGTCGCTTTTGGGCATAGGGCACTTGCACACTGTACATGACTTAAAGCCTGGGGCGTTAGGCATGCCCTGGCACCCCAGAGGGGCTACAGTCTTTGTGCACTTGTCTGCTTTTCCAGTAACGACAATGACTTGCTATTTACAAGGAAGAAGATGATGATGATTATGAGAGCTAAATAGTAGGGACTAGGTGCTTGCCAAGGCAAAACAGCTAGGAAGTTCTATTGCTGTCTTAGATGGTAAGAAGAACTAAGGGAAGGTTAGGGTTGGCAATGGTATATATGTGCTAATATAGCGGTGTCGCTATAGCGGTCTCCACAGCTGACCCTATGGGAGCTGCTAGGAAAAAAGTTTCAGATGCTTGTGCACATGGTGAACATACACCTGACTGAAATTGATGTGAATAAGCACCCGAAGAACCTAGTTTAAAGCGCTCCTCACAAGTTAGCAAGCTTGACTGCAAATATACTCCCTTCATTAGGTGTATCCCATCTTTTCTTAGCAGTCCTTATTTCTGGAACATCATACCATAATTGAAGAATCCAAAGCCCTCTCTCAGACCTGAATCATGGCATATAGTTTCTAATGGGTGACTGGCTGTAGAAGTGTATTTCCACAAGTATTTTTTTTTAAAGTGGATGCTTTTTTGAAGAGAGAATTTCCATTGGTGACCAATTGAATAATACTTTAAAGTCATGCACATATCTAGAACAAATCTGGGTGAGAACTAATCTAGAAGAGAGTATGGGGGGATGTTAGAAGTTTGGTTGTCTACGTTAAAATATAGGTGTTTAAAAAACATAGGCATTTTAAAAAGTTAACAATATTCTACTTTTTAAACAGGTACATAAACCAATATCCAATCCTTGGTCTCCTGTCTGATGACTTCTTGATGACATCATCAATTAGACAAACAGACTATTGAGGAAACTGAAGCAATGTAGAAAAACATGTAAGTTATCGATGTTATGCCATTACTTGTTATCAATGTGTAGATTAAGTACTTTAGTGGTATTTAGGGAGTTCAGGCTTTAAAGAAGCTGAAAATGGACTTGTAAAAAGCATTAAAGCAACAGGAATTTAAAAGCCTATTTTGGAGGTTTCTTTTCTATCTCAGTAAATAAAATAGCAAAATGAGCAACAAAAGCAGCTCAGAGCATGCACTTGTCTATTATGAAACTATGACATTTCTAAAGATGGTTTATGAAGGCTGGCAAAAAATAAATAGAAGAGCCCTCTACCTTTTCCTCTTTCCTATTGTACCTCATATTTTACAACTGTACTTCAGCTTTTGAAAGGGTTGCTATTACACCATAAATTGTACTGTTATGGGGTAAATCTCAATGTAGATTAAGCCAAATCAGCGGGTAAATCCAGAATTGAAAATGTGCCTTATTTCTATTATGTGCCACACCATCAATAAAGCAATTTGAATAAGCGACTCATAGAAAACTCAAAGCCCAGACATGAGTTTTAGGAGTCTTTTTACAATAGATAACAAGCTAGAGCAGTGCATAGGGGCTTGTTTTCAGATAGAAGTAGTTTGCAGATTTCTGGGAGCAATACTTTAACCCTGAATGTAAATTCTTCCGTACTATCAACAATAAATATACGCTCTGCACCCTAAATTGAGCTGGAACTTCATGCAGACCAAACAGTTCCTTTCACTGAAGACATACATACATGGCAGGTAGGAAAGACGAGGATTTAGGAGCATGGTAGATGATAACTGGGAGACTGCTCCTATGATGCCTTCTACAGTAGGAACAAACTCAGTTCTGAAGAGAAGAGGATATAAGAAAGTAGAAAGGTGGTAATAGTAAAAGAGATTGCCTTTTGCAAAGTGAGAGATGATCGCTGTACAGGAATTTAAACGAGGGAATTTTACTAAGAGTCAGGCTAAATATGGAAGAAACAATAAAAACTAAGCCTAGAGGAGATGCCAGTGAAAATGGATTAGACTTAATTTTGTAGAGAATGAGTTTGAGATGGCTGCTACATATAAGTGCTACATACTTGTATAAAGTAAAAGGAGAAGTTAAAGCTGTTCAAAAGTTAGTTGTGTTTGTTTATTTCACTACAGGAGAGCAAGAGTATTATAAGCTGAGAAACTGAGTTTTTGTTTCCTGAAAACACCAGGATAACTCCCTAAATGAAAAATCCCTCCTACACTTAATCCTGCTCCCAATAAAATCAACAGCACCAGGATTTCCTTCAAAATCTTGTATAGTAGAATCGCAGAATTAACTGACCAGTAAACTACACACCTCATTTAGAACCAGATGTATGCTATGAAGCAACAAAAAAGATTTTAAAAAATATACTACTGTTACGGGAAAGAAGCATTTTTCTTCTGCATAGTAAAGTTTCAAACTGTATTAAGTCAGTGTTCTGTTGTAAACTTTTAAAAGAACAGCCATAACATTTTGTTTCAGAGTTAAGGATAACCTCCATTCCCAAGATGTTCATAACTCTGAGGCTCTGCAGCAGGTTTCAATTGAAAAGAAAGGATTTCACTTAGGTTACAAACCTATGATAATATAGGATTATATTAGAAGTGTTTTATTTTTAACTCTAACAACAAATAAGATAAATTTCAGTTTGTTGCAATTACCACAAAAATTATCAGCTTTTAAGCAAATTTTTGTCACTGAAATGTGGTGGTACGTATAGTTAAAATTTTGAAAAGCACCTATGTGCGCAAATTAATGGATCTTTAAAGAATTACATTTGAGTAACATGTTATGATGAGTATCACAATCTTTATACTTAAAAAGTGCCTAAGGTGAGGGCCTGAATGGGAATTAAGGCTGTTCACTTTAGGTATCTGAATCGCATAAAAAGTCAGATTAAAAAAAACAAGTTTATTGCATAGATTTAATTGTAAGCAACAGTACATGTACAGAAAAATTATCACATATGTGAAATCTAATGTGATGTTTGTTTTGTGATGGAAATAACTTCCCCTCAACTAATTGCTTATTTCTTTTAGGAGTGAACAGATTCAGTGAAGGTCCCAGCTGCTCAAAAAAGCTCACCAAATTACTGTATTATTGCTTTACTTTCTCATCATTAAAAGGTTCAGTCTAATATTTAGAACCAGCTTTTCCCTGAACTTCTATCGAAGTGTGTGTGTTAAAAGAGACATGCAGTGGAAAATAATGGATTGTGAAAAGCAGTGGCTGACTTTACTTAAAGCAAGCAATTAACTTTATCTGATGAACATGCATTTTTCATAGTCTGCTTATTACAACCACTGTCTCATTTTCGTAACACAATACCCAGCATTACATGCAGTTAAATCTCCTACATTCTCTATGGAGATGAAAAGCAACTGGCCGAATCATTTATGAAGTTCAGTCCTTTCAGACCACACTATGTAAAGCAATAATTTCCATTCCTGTTACGTATTGCATACTAAGAAGAGTGGACCAACCTTTCTTCCCCTATTTAGTTTGCATATGGCATATTGGCTTTTTCTCTGCATGCATGGTAAATAATACCAGTTATGAAAAGTAGAAGGCAAAATTACATTGATTACAAATGATGTGGCAAAGTTTGATATATGCCTCTGTGGTAAGCCTATTCGCATATCTTGCAAAGGTATGTTCATGATGTTCATACCCCAAAAATGGATATTTTTATGATACACTTAAGTGTTTACAAGATTTTCTAGCTGTAGAAACTGGTATCGCTATTTTAAAGTGTGTTACTTTACTACTTCACAGAACTCACATTGGTTCCAGTAGTGCACTTACGTTTTCTCATCTGTCCATACTGAGATCAAATGCTAAGTGCAGCCATGAGAGGTGTATCTAGAACTTATGGAGAATACATTTAAAAAAAAATGCATACAGAAAACAAACTGGTATGTTTGCAAGATTATCTCAAAAATGCATGAAAAATTCTAAAGAAAAAGTTACCTTTCTGAAAACACAACATTTTTCTACATAAATTAACCAAAATGCTTTAACCTGGGAGCAATTCCATGCCAGATAATTTCTGTTATCCAGCTCCTCACTGTTGGGCCACAAGTGGTGAATGCTAGTTTACAGGATTATATTGCCAGATTAGCAGATATATTTTACAAAAAACATCTATAAACTTTTAAATTTAAGGCAACTAAGTTTTTAAAAAGTGCACTTGAGATCATATGAATAGGTTTTTGACTGAACGTTTATAAACTGAAAAACAGTTGCAACTATCCATACCATGGCATAGTTTAAGATCCTTGAAATTTACTTGTAAATCAAAATTTCAAGGATGTGGTGTAGAGATTCTATTATAGTGGGAAAAGTAGAATGAAAATAGTGCTTGGGTCTATCTATATTCTCTGTTGTTAAGGGAGCAAAATTGCTATTTGATTCAGGACCACAGAATGTGTTCCAGTGATTTTGGTATAAGTAATATAATGGAGTGGGGTTTGAAAGAAATACATAGATACCGGGAAGAGAGGAATTAAGGGATCTATAATACTTAAATAGGTGCGAGTTTTTCGTTGCTTTTGTAAAGGTTTTCTTTTCTATATTTCTGCAAACTAATTGTTATATTATAGGCAGTTGGAATTCATTTTATATCCACACAGATGGTCAATATGTGTGTTGGTGAGAGCACTTGTGAGCTATGGATGAGAACAGCTGTGAAATAAACATCTGTCTATTAATAAGTGTGCAAGTTTAATTTTCTGTTAACAAAACTTGACATCGATGCGTCCGCCTGCTTTAAAAAACTTCTAATGTCTATCTTTTCATTCTTAGATACATTAATTGACTAGGCTACTTTATACTACATTTTTATTTAACACTGTTACTAGACACCAAATCATTCTGGGACAAAGTCTTCAGAATGATCAGGTCATCCACGCAGGTTCTAAGGATAGTGGAACAAAGATAGCAGAGTATGCTGAAGGGTTCTCGGGGATAAAGCCATACTCGCTTTATAGTCCTACATGCTGCAGACTTAGGGTAAGCACTAAAATCATCAATATTTTTAATTTTGAGAACATCAGAAATAAACAGTTACTGCCTCCCTTCTACCCCAATGTTATGAAAAAAATGAAGACTAACACATGGGGCAAAAATTCCTCAAATTGAAGGAATCCTCAGTGTGATCATTCAAATGTTCAGTAGTGACAAATCCATCCACCCTTACTCAAATGGCCCACTGACATCATCTCTGATTTCACAATTTCAGACACACTGAAGTTTGAATTGGTCACAACTCAAGATTTGCTTCATTCCAAAGCAACTTCCCCCATTAGGGCTTGTTTCTATACTTAAGAAGTTTTTTCATACGACAGGAAATTGCTCCATCAAGCAACCATCATTCTTTGATCTGGGCTTCAGAACAACACTGGTGGAGTTGACAGCTAAGGATGACAAAGGTGGGCAGCAAACCGTGACATGAACTTCAGAACACAATGAGCATTTTGTCACGCATCTTAATAGGAGTAGGATCAGACCCCGCTTTCAAACTCCTGAAAAATTAAAATATGAATAAGGCGACATCTACTGCACAATGTTAGCCATGGATAAGAGAGTATGGGGCTCATCAGCTTCTCTCTGTAGAGATAGGACCTTTAAGTTAATTATAGAACATCTGACAAATTAACTTTCTGCAAATTATTGAAATGACATTTACACCGTTTAAAATAATTCTCATCTAGTCATGATGCAAATGTAAAGGAATTCAAAGCATTACAGCGGGGTCTGGGGAGCCCCAGCAGTGACTAGGAACCCCTGGCAGAAGCAAGGCCGGTGGCTGCTAGGGCGACCTGGCCAGGAACTCCCAGTGGGAGCGGGGCTGGTGGCTGCCTGTAAGCCCAGCCAGGAACTCCCAACAGAAGTGAGGCTGGCAGCAACGGGAGACTCAGGGCAAGGAGTCCCACAATCCTGAGAGGTGCCCAGGAGTGATCTGGTGGTCAGCAAGGGAGCATTCACCTCTCCTGATCCTGTAAACCCTCTGGTTTGGCAGTGCTCAGGTCCTGAGGGTGCTGGACCAGGGAGGTCTAACCTGTAATAATTAAAGGCTGCATTTCCCCAAAAGAATGACTCAGGTAAGTAACCCAAATTCTCTTATCACAGACTTCCATGTTTATCCGGGCTAGTGCAACCACATACAATTCATCCTCAAAGCAGTACATCTTGGCAGCTCAGAACCACCCACCTTTAGGTCCTGTTCCTTTTGCTGACTTCAGAAGCCCTCTTCAAGGGATTCATCATTAACACTGGAAGGGAGTGTGTCAGTTTGGATCACAGAAATCCCTTTGGGTTGTCCCCTGGTCATAGACTCATAGAACTGGAAGAGACCTCAGAAGGTCATCAAGCCCAGCCCCCTGCTCTAGGCAGGACCAATCCCAACTAAATCAACCCAGCCAAGGCTTTGTCAAGCCGAGACTGGAACACCGCTAGGGATGAAGACTCCACTACTTCCCTAGGTAACCCATTCCAGTGCTTCACCATCCTCCTAGTGAAATAGTTTTTCCTCATATCCAACCTGGACCTCTCCCACCACAACTTGAGACCATTGCTCCTTGTTCTGCCATCTGTCACTACTGAGAACAGCCTCTCCATCCTCTTTGGAACCTCCCTTCAGGAAGTTGAAGGCTGCTATCAAATCCCCCCTCACTCTTCGCTTCTGCAGACTAAACAGACCCAAGTCCCTCAGCCTCTCCTCGTAGGTCATATGCTCCAGACCCCTAATCATTTTGGTTGCCCTCCGCTGGACCCTCTCCAAAAGGATTGCCCCCAGGATGTGTCCTGTATCTGAATTGCTCAGTTTAATGCTTTGAGTTTGTTTTTCATTTCTTAAGGGAAAATGTTGCCAAGACTCCTGCATATTCTCCTGATCTTGAACACAGCCCAAGGTCCTGCTCCAAATCCTCTTGAGTCTCTCCATTGACTTTACTGAGTATGCAGCAGTGGGCTCCAAATTAAAGTATTCTAAGGACACAGAATTTGGCTCCATGGTAGAGTTACTGTTTTGAAGCCTGTTACTCTAGAGAGACATGAATATTCTGTGCGTTCCTGCTAATACATGATTTGGAAATGGCTATGGGTATGTCTACACTGCAAAGTTAATTCAAAATAACAGCGTTATTTCAAGTTAACTTTAATAGCGTCTATACATGCAAACTGCTATTTTAAAATTAATTTGAAATAGCAGAGCGCTTAATTCAAATTTGGTAAACTTCATTCTACGAGGAGTAAGGCCAAATACAAAATAGCTATTTTGAATTAAGTGCCGTGTAGACACTTAATTTGAAATAGGAGGCCTCCAGCCCTTCTTGGGAGCCCTGGTGGCCACTGGGCACAACCAGGAAAACTTACTCTCCTCTCCCCCAGGCCCGGAGACACTAAAGGGGTAGACCCTGGCCACAGTGCCTGTGCCAGCTCCAAGCCTGTCAGCCCAGAGCCAGCAGTAGCCACCGGGGCCCCTGACCAATGGATTCCTTAAGGATCCCCTTCCATGATTTTTCCAGGAACCGAGGTAAGACTGACCGGCCTATAGTTCCTTGGATCGTCCTTCTTCCCTTTTTTGAAGATGGGCACTACATTTGCCTTTTCCCAATCATCGGGGATCTCTCCCAATCTCCACAATTTTTCAAAGATAATGGCCAAAGGCTCCTCAATGACATTTGCCAACTCCCTCAATAGCCTCAGATGCATTAAGTCCGGACCCATGGATTTGTGTACGTTTAGCTTTTCTAAATCGTTCCTAACCTGTTCTTTACCCACCAAGGGATGACCATCTTCATCCCATCTTGCGTCACTTAGCGCATTAGTCTGGGAGCCGACCTTGTCCGTGAATACAGAGGCAAAGAAAGCATTGAGTACTTCAGCTTTCCCCACATCATCTGTCACTAGGTTACCTCCTTCATCCAGTAGGGGCCCCACACTCTCTCTGATCACCTTCTTCTTGTTAACATGCCCGTAGAAACCTTTCTTGTTATCCTTCACATCCTCTGCCAGTCGCAATTCCAATTGTGCTTTCGCCTTCCTGATAACCTCCCAGCATCCTCGAGCTATACTTTTAAACTCCTCCCTGGTCATTTGTCCAAGTTTCCACTTTTGGTAAGCTTCCTTTTTGTGCTTAAGTTCACCAAGGATTTCCCCCGTAAGCCAGTCCGGTATCCTACCATGTTTGCCTCTCTTGCTACGTATCGGGATGGTTTCTTTCTGTGCCTTTAATAAGGCTTTTTAAAATACTGCCAGCTGTCCTGGATGCCTTTCCCCTTCATGTAAGCATCCCAGGGGATTCTGCCCATCAGGTGTCTGCAGTTATAGTGCATTCCTAGTAGCAGGCCTTCGCCCCTGAAATTCAGTCTTAACACATACTTTCCTAAACCAACCCTGACCACAGAGAAGCAAAGGATTCTATTAATGTTGTCCTTGGAATCTCCCTATAGACTACTGTTGCTGGGTTCACTGGTATACAGTTAGGCTACGTCTACACTGGCATGTGCTTTTGCGCGAGAGTATCCATGGCAGTGTAGACGTTCTCTTCCGCAAGAAAGCTCTGATGACCATTTTAACCATAGGGGCTTCTTGCGCAAGAAATTAATGTTGCCTGTCTACACTGGCCTCTTCTGGAAGATCTCTTGCGCAAGAGGGCTTCTTCCTTGAGGAAGCGTCAGAGTTCTCACGCAAGAAGCTCTGATTTTCTACAGTACAATGTCACTTTACTTGCACAAGAACACGCGGCCAGTGTAGACAGGCGGCATGTTTTTGCATAAGAGCAGCCATTTTCATGCAAGAACGCGCCAGTGTAGACACAGCCTTAGAGGAGAGGTGGGCAAAAGGGCCTCGGCGGGTTGGATTTGGCTCCTCCACCCCCAGGCCAATTAGGTCCTGGGAGTGGGGGGAAGCGCACAAAATTTTCTCCACCCTGCAAGGAGTGTGCGGTGCTTAGAAGTGCCATGTGCTCCTGGCAGGGTGGATGGAGACTTCATGCACTCTCCCTCCCCCAAGCTCTGATTGGCCTGGGGGCCGAAGGAGGAGCACCCGAAGTCGTCTGTGGGAATCTCTGGGTGGGGGGAGGGCAAAGATTTCACGCACTCCCCCAACCGCAGACCAATTATGGTCTGTGGGTGGGGAAGCAGGGAAGTATCCTGGACCCATCCCTTCCAGTGCAGCCTTTCTGAAGTGGCCCCTGGTAAAAAATTGTTGCCCACTCCTGAGTATACTTCATTTTGGAAAAGTATGGCATTGTTCTTACAAATATAAATTATGTCAAAATGCTACCGTAATGGACCCTTTAACACTTCTAAACAAAACCAGTTTTCTAAAAGTATGTCAAATTAGCTTAAATAGACCAAATACACATCTAGACACTACTGTAAATAGAAAAATATTCAAAATATACAGTAAAAGTGATTTTGGAGGCTCGATAGTACATCCAGCCTTTTGCAACACTTTTTAAGACTTCATGCAGAAAGGAGGCACCTTAAAACACAGAAAATTACTAAACTCTCTATGGAATAGGAAATGCTTGAACGCTAATAGCAATAACTTTTATAAGTGTTTCAGGTTTACAAAAGCCCATCTATGATTTATTTGAATGCTCTTCCCTACAGTCATAAAAATAGCAGAAATGTAAAAATAATTCAGAGATTAAAAATATTCCCATTAAACTAATTTACTGTTTGGATTAAAGCTAGTAGTATTAGAAAA